ATAAAATACTAAAAATAAAGGGGGGGGGGGGTGTTGAGTACTTTTTCTTGGAAAGCCAAGGCCTCTCCACAATGCTAAGCACAGTACTCTTCTCCTCCCAATTAGTGTGTTTACAGCTGCAAAAACTCAAGACAACAGTTTCTCCTGCCACTGTTCCAGCAGGTCTCCATTCATATCAGTGAGTTAACTCTCACTCCCCTCAAACATTCACAACACTTACTTACCACTCTGTTTTCTTTCCTATGATTGCTCTTTTACTCCATGTTGGAAGATTCCTTCCAACCATCCACCTGGTTGGTAGCTCCTTATTTCCCCCTCATTTCTACTCCTTCATGCTCTATCTGGTGCTTACTCTTCTCTCAGACACATCTTTTCCCACTACTCTTTCTCCCAAACCATCTACTACATTCCTCTCCTGGACAGCAAGCAGGGTCTCAATAAATAACACTTACCTTACACAAAGACTGTTAATTTCATGGTACTGCTTTCTATTTGAATCAGCAGGGAAGACAAAAAGCAAACAGAGGTTGAAGGAAAGATTACAGGGATCTCTGCACTCAAGGAGATGAGCTATCTGCCCAATCAGACCTCTGGTGAACTCATAATCAGTTCTACTTGCTGCACAAATATCTCAATGTCTTATTTAAATAGATAAAAATACATTTCATGCATAAACTTCCAGAACTTCATACTGGGTTTTATATACACCTTTAAATGAACAAATTATTCAGCATCATAAATTACTGACAAACACATGCGTAAATCTTAGAGAAACTGAGAAGGAATCACACATCATGTTTCCACATACAGGAGACACACTGAAAGGCATTCTTCCAATGCTCTATTTCTGTTGTTCAAATTAAAAAGAAGAAACAAAACCTTAAGTTTATGAAGAAAAGTGACATAAAGCAAGAGAAAGAGGAACTACTAACAACAGCACAAGCTCACAGGAAACCACTCATGCCTCATCCTAATGCGCAACAGTGCCCCTATGCTTGACCAACATGTTGAACTTCTCAGTACTCACAAATTCTCCAGCAACCACTGGATAAAACAAAAAGTGTAATTGCTTGAGACCTGTCTGGGTTAGACCTTGAACATTAATCATCCCTGAACTATACGGGAAGATCCACGGATAAAAATGTTATCTAGATCCTTTCTCATTCAGAAGTCTGAGATTTTTGAATTCAGATCAGTTCTGAATGGAGAAGTTGGTTACTATCAGAATAATTCAGACTGTAAAGGACTTTAGGAGATCATTTAATCCAATCCATGACTCAAAAGAAATGCTATTCTAGACTTCCGCTCTCATTAATAACACTGTAAACATCACACAGGAAATAAGATGCAGATTACATTGCCATGGCCACACTGAATTTACCTTGAGTTAGTCACATTGTTAGCATCTACCAACAAACAGACTGTAGAATTTCTTGTTTCAGTGTGTGCAAGTTGTCACCAGCCCAAACTGTAATAAAGTGTTAAGGCAATGGGAATTTTCAGGGCATAGAACTGTTGCAAATATCACAATTTTATTTATCCATCATTTATAGTCAATATACTGCTATTACAGGCACTATATGATGCAGTCTTGATTGCTTAAAATATTATTTACTCAAATTTTGCACTAGTCTGCCACTTTGCAAGTATTAGATTACATTTTTTGAAAATTTAGTTAATTTCATTGCCTTCATGATGTTGTCAAATTTAACTGGGAGGGACAGCTGAACCATGGATTCAAGGCTAGGTACTATCTGGTGCTAGAAAACAAGTCAATAAAGACTGTAGTCTGAGGACTAGCTCCCTGTAAGCAGAATGGAGCTAAAAGAATGGGTAACTCTTGGATATCCTAAAGCCACAGCAGTAGAAACTGAATGTTTGTTCACACAGCCAGTAGACAAGTCCTTGCACTTCACACTGTCGTCGCATGGCTCAGTCCAGTCTGGATGGGTCACCTCCTGGAGGGTCACCGTACCACTTCAGTCTCTGGATTCTCTGCTGGGACTGCTACAAATGACATTATATGGTGGCATTTGTTCCGAGAGGACATTTGTCTTCTAGGAACTGGATAAAGACCACTGATTTCATGCAGGTCAGCAAGCAACCATCAAAATATTAGTGACTAAAAGTCCTTACTAACTTTTGCCTGCTTTGAACTGGTGACACAGAAGTGATGGGAAAGACTTATCTTCCATTAGCAGTCCCAAGCTACCAATTAGATGGTCCTTGACCTGTTACCCAGTCACCCCATCCCATACCCACCCTATGTGAGTGAACAAGCATTTTAGCTAACAGAAATGTTGCAATTCTTGGGAATTAAAATCTAAATTCTCACAGTGTATAATATCAGTACAAACCGACACTGACTTCGCCTGGTAATGCTTAGCTAAAATGTTTTGTAACTCAGAAGAGACTTCTTACGGGAAAAACCACACTGTCTCTAAAACACAAAGCAAACAAAAGCTGCCTCCAAAGAAATCTGGGGGGGGGTGGGGAGGGGTGTTTCAGAAATAGGAATATGGAGCACTATTCAGGAAGACTATAGTGATCTCTAGTCATGTACAGGCTCACTATTCAAATATAAAAAATAAATAACTTCAAAGCTAGGTAAAAAAGGTAAAAAACTGTTCTGTATCATTTACAACTCGGTTATGGAGAAGACTTCATGTGAGGCACTTTCACATAAGATCCAAGTGGTTTAATACCATTTTATATAGCATCTAACATTTGAAATCAGAACTCCACACAATCGTTTTAGAAAAAAATGCATAAAATTGCTTTCACTTTTCTGATGTTTATTTTTGTCCATCTAAATACCAATATATTACTACTTCGGTATCACCTGTTAGGCTTACTCGAACTTATTAGAAACAACTCCCTTGAACAAGGAGGAGCTTTGTACATGTGAATGCAGTTCAGAACATTACAGATAAGATAGTTTCTACAAACTGCCCTCTCAAGCACCATTCACGCTAGGCAAGAGAAGAAATACTTTAATATTCATGAATGTTACATTTTAAATAAACCCTGACAAGAAACTACCAGCTATGTAAAACTACACAAAAATTCTGTTGGTTTTCAAATGGAAGCCACTGCTCACCGCAACTAAAAACATGTTCTGGAAATTCAGCTAAGTTGAAACCTGTGGTAAATTCAAATTTGTCCTTTGTAATACTTTTTAAAAAAATACACATTCTCCCCCCATAGTTCATTTATTACTTCTTACAATGTTTTTAATAGATTAAGAGGTTTTTCACAGGTAGAAATGCTACAGAAATATCAGGTATGAACATTTAAATGCATACATGCATGCTAATAAAAGACTGTAAAAATATCAAGAATGCAAATTAGTAATTATATGTAACATATATCCTTTGTAGGTATCTGTAGAACTGTTATTAGGTACATATACATCTGTGTAAAACACTTAACAAACAATTAGGTTCCATCCCATATTATAGCACACAATAAAAGATCATGCTCCACACACAATTCCAATATTCTCATTAACTGAAATCCTTCTAGCATAATTTTCTATTAATTCAAACTGAGTTTGAATCCAGAGCCTGTCTCCTTTGAAAAAAAAAAAAAAAAAAAACATAAAAAACCCAAAAAAACGACCTCACATCAGTCTAGTTATATTGGTATAAATTTCTCTCTCGTAAATTTACTCAGCTGATATACAGCAGGGGTTTACACCAGCACATTGTACTGCAGTAGCCTAACGGCTCAAGTTGCACCAGCACAAATCCACTTTAGAGTTATGCAGTTCATTTACAATGGCTAATCCTACCACCTATCTAGCTACACTGCAATAGGGGGATGCTCATTTTCCCCTAGATAGATAAATCTTTCTAGCCTGATATGGCATCTACATTATTCAGCAGACAGCATTAAAGCCAAACCAAGTTTTATATAGAAACACTCATATGATTGCCTGCTATATGAGATCTCTCCTGCTCCTCCTCCCAGCCATTCAGAGGAGGAATTAAGTAAGTGTTCCAAGTCTTCCTCCCATCTCAAACCATGGAAAAACTGGTTCAGCAACCAAAACAAGGAACAAAAGCAGTAAATCCTCCAATAGTTTCCTTCCTGCCTACCCTGGTTCTTCAAGTATACTGACTAGTAATGAAAAAAATTCACCCAAACACTCACACAGTTGAGGAGTAAAATTAAGATTTTTGCCACACTACAGTTCCTTTCTGTAATCATCCCCAGGAAAAGAAAGGATAAGAAATCAAATTTTCTCCCTCTTATCCACGAGTTTTCCTTCCTGTTTTCAGTAAGATACAAAGGAAGATCTAAAGATTTCTCCTACACAAACCATGACTTCCGTCTCTAAAACTTAAGGAGAGTTAAAGGGGTGAGGGTTGATTCACCCCTGCCGCTTGGAAAGGCCAGAACAGCTACTTCTCCTAGGCAGTCAGTCAGCAAGAGCTGAAACACATTCTGATCAACAGCCCACATCTGTATTTGCTCAAACTTAAACAATTACCTTGGAAATAAGGAATATATATACACAATCAAGTACTGCATTGTGATATTATTTGACCATAACCAGTGTATTAACTGCTATAAAATTGCAACTACTTTAAGTTCCTTACAGTATAGTAGCCTTTTTTTTCTTCCACAAAATAGCAAACTAATTATATGCTACCATTTTGTGAAAACTCTTAGGAGTTTAAGGAAACAGTTTAAATATTTATCTCATAATATTCAAGCAAATTCAATGGAGGGAAAAAATGAAGTCTCTTTAGATTTGATGTATCTTCTCAGCTTAATTAACACAAGCTGTCTCTCCTTTAATTTGCACTTAAGAAGCAGGAACTTTACTCAATTTGCTAATTACTACATTTTCAAGCTGTTTTCTTGAAATAGATGGCAGCCTATCACACTTGTGCAACCTGTTGTAAGGAACCTGCTTTGGCAGGGGGGTTGGACTAGATGATCTCTTGAGGTCCCTTCCAACCCCTACAATTCTGTGAAATTTCTGTAGTTACCTCGAATTACATAATTGTCCAAAGCCTCTTCCATTCTTTTCAGTGCTTCAGCCCTATTAGAGCCATAGGTAATCAGCTTAAAGAAAAAAAATAGTATTTAAGTTACCTTGAAATGAGAAAATATTTGTCTCTAGATTCTGAATAGCATTTAAAATTAAAATGGTTTGTAGAACATCTGCAGTCACAAAAACATTTCTCCTACATTACTGTATCTGTGCTTCACAAGTTCTCCAAAACATCAAGAGAAAACTAAGATCTCTTAACCCATTCAATGAAAGAAGACTAATCACTTATCCTACATAGAGCATCTCACCAAGCTCTTTCCTCTTCTTTAGGTGCAGAGAAAATCAGACCAGAGGTTTAATATCTAGTTGATTCTCTCGACTTATAATGCACAACTGACTTCTAAGATATAACTGTGAATTTTTTTGACAAGTGAAGTCTGATCATAATATTTTCATTTTACCAGTATGTTGCCAATGAATAAAAACTAATGCTAAGAGATGCTATCAACCATTTCTTTCCCTGCTTCTTTCTGGAAGCAAGAATTATTGACATTTTAGTTCTGGCTAGGTTATGTTAAAAAAAGAGAGAGACTGGCAGCACCTAAGTCTGAAACTAATGGCTTCTGTTTAAATCAGAATCAGAAACTGCAGGACAAATAATTACAGTATCAAAAGATAAGAAATTTTGTTTAAAAATGACACTAAATTTCCTCTACTCCACATCTCCCTTCACTTTTTTCATATTCCATTGAGGAATGTTATGCCTAGCACCTTTAAAATACTGATTTACCAATCCTTTAATACACTCTCCCTCATTTAAAACATCTATGCATAAGATCAGTGTTTCATACCTTTAGAATATTGAAAAATAATCATCAACTCACTTTTGAGATCATAGGATCATAATAAATGCTAATATCACTTCCTTGTTGTATGCCACTGTCAACACGTACCTTCAAAAAATAAGAAGAAAAAATAATTATATATTTGGGGAAAAAAATATTTCAACATGAGATCAAAACTACCCAGAAGGCTGAAAACATAACATCCATGAAGCTTATCACGTACATTTTTTTCCCCTGGAAGAACTAGAATATCTATTTGTTTTCAGAGAAGCTGAAAGGGGAGTTTTGTCTTCCACCAGGAAAAATACTTGCAAGTTATTGTCTCTTTTAAAAGAAAGAGCTCTTGACTATCAGCTTCAGCTGATAATCAAAATTCTCTTTTGTTCTCCTAGACTGCATAGTAAACACATTAAATCTGATCTAACAATTTAGGCTGTTAGACACTCTAAACTTCAACTCTCAATGTATCCAATTCAGTTTTAATCCCTGTAATAAAATGCAGTTGTAATTATTCTCCTGACTGACACCTGGCATGAAGGATGCCCCTTATAATCACATCCTTTCTGCATCTATATGGAATCGAATCCCCCGTGTTCCGCTACAGCCCTTCCAAGGGCTCCAGTAAGAATGCAAGTAGGGAGCATTCAGCAGGGACTTTGGAGCTCTGCTTATCAGCTCCATAGGAATACTGATCCTGTGGTTTTCATGTCTGTAACACTTTCCTTTTCTGCCTCACCCTCTCAACTGTAAAACATTTTTTTTCTGTTGCTGCTGTTCCCCTGAGGCTTTAATGTTTACACAGCTTTTTCCATGGCTTTGCTTTGTAGGGACACAGCCCCAATTAAAGCTCTGTTTCTGCAATATTAATGGAAAAAAATAACACAAGTTCAAAATTTTCTTTTGAAGAAGCTGATTGCTGTTAACCAGCCAACAAGTTAGTTAGTATATTGCTGATTCTTGTTTTCATCTCTCAGTTTGAGTTCATCACTGTAGCAATGAGGTTAGCCATATAAAACTTCTCAAATGAGCAATTTCTTGGGGATAAATATTTATTAAATTGCTGCTTTTGAGCACTGGAATCTGAAATATTTTTTTAAAACTAATCAAAATAACTTGAGAGTGATAAACGCATTCTGGGGATCAAAGCTGTTGAAGCAGCATGGCTCCGATACACTGCATTGTGAAGGGGGGTGGAAAGAGGGTCCTGGAATCTCACTTAAATCTTCACCTGTGGGAAGGAACCTTTGTAATAAACAGCAGCTCATCTGTCTGCAGCAAGGCAGAAAAAGGTCAACGCAACGGCTGTTAGGCCTTTAATATTTTAATTTAGGCAATTATCAAGGGACCACATGTAGAACCTCTTGTCTACAGAATCCACATGAGGGCATGATGATGACTTTATTATCCAAATGACATAAAAAGATACCCTAGCAGGTGTACTCACTTTCTCCAGTAAGAAACACTGTCTGTCCAGTTTTTATGACATTATGTTATTTTTATTTATAAAAAGCATATATTATTCATATATATATATGTATTTATACTTATATATTTATATATTTTCTTGCATATTAATTTTTATTTGTGTAGCATATTTATTAATACATAAAGGTAGCAGCACTTCTGTAGCATTTTTATCGCATCTTATCTGATATATACCCATATCAGGTATATTTAACATTAGCTACTGATGAGAAGGTAGTTCAGACACATCATGGTTACAGAAGAAACATGCAGTGTATTTCCCAGCTCTCCTTCTTGTAACTGCTAAACCATCCTTCCTCCCAGGATGCCTGCCTATATATAAAGTCAATGCATACATTCTCACATTCAAATCAGAAAAAAATAATTTACCTACTGAGTCACAGATAAGTCTCTTGCCCGTAATATTTTTGTAGTATATAATAAATAGATATATAGAAGATGTATTACCTACATAGTCCGCACATAAAGGAATTATACTGTGACTTTTGTCTCCGAAGTAGCACCTATAAAGCTATTACATACAAGTGTTCAGGGGTGCTTTACATACACATATACGTGCATGTAAGTATTTATATATAGAATATTTTAACAAAGAAAAAACATATGAAAGGTACATAATTTGGACTCAGAGTAAGCAGGTTAATCAGACCTTGAAGTTAAGGTAAGGCTTCTGAGGCCACTGATTAGATGCTCTGCATTTCTTTTGCTACACAACATACATATCACTATGCAATTTACACTTTTTCTTAAGTACAATATGCTGAAAAACAAAAGATTACAGTGCTAATTGAAAATTCTTTTAAAACTACAGCATAATTTTTTAAAAAAAAATCTGGATTCCGCTGTAGAAGTTAAATTTTCATAAAATAAACTCAAGACAACTAAAAAATGACAGCAGAAAAGAAATACATTTACCATCTTCAGTTCTCTCTATGGTGCTTACATTTTCAGAGCCTGATAACAGTAGGTGATGTTATAAACTATATGGTGTGACAGAACTTAATGAATATTGTATGAAAAAGAGACTCTAATTTAACAGATACTCACTATAATGTGCTTAAATCACAAATAATAGCAATACTTCCAGCATTTACTTCTGCTTAGCATACTTCCTTTCTTTTATTCAGTATTTAAAATACCAAAGGCTATAGTTCAAGATCCTACTGTATCCTATAGCTTGTTGGTATTACAGCCCCCAACACTTCTATCATTGCTGTACTACCATTACATGTTATTACACTAGGACAACAGTAAACTGAAATAAAAAAAGCTTAAGAAAAGCATAATCTATGTCCCAGTCCTGCAATGAGCTATTGAGCTATTAGTGGATCAAATTCCACTTACCAACACATACAGGTTTTAATATTTCTCAGTTCTTTGCCGTATGAGTGTCTTGAGTTTTCTCTTTCTGATAAGTGTCATTAAAAGACCAGAGTGCCAACCACAGCTGCAAAGAGCAATGTTGGAGCTCTTCAGATATAGCAGTACATTTGCTATGTTGTGTAAGAGCACTGAACATGAATGCTCACCATCATAATACAGGTTTTTGTGGCTACCTATCTTAAGCTTCATTACCAAAGATGAAAAAAATTGGGTATTTAGGAGTACCACATTCTAAGAAAATTACAGACTATGACACAAAAATAGCCAGTATATTACTATGTATGACTTAAAAAAACCTGCAAAAAGCCATGCACACCAGTTCCACCAGCTTGAGCAGCTGACACAGGCACAGGTAGACACTCACAGCTAATCTAAGACACAAGAAATGAATTGAAAATACATTGGGCAACACATTAGTCGTAAGCCAAGCTCGCTGTGACACACTACAAGTCTTCGCTAATTTTTTTTTAAGCCAACTTGTTGACAATGCTAAAAATCTAAAATGCAGAAAACACACTGTGGCACAATGGGCCTGTAATGCCAAACTTTTTTAGTCATATTAATTTTGTTCTTAGCGGCATGACATTCTCAGGAGAGAAATTAGTTTCACAGTGACAGAAAATATGTATTAAGACACCAAACGATGAGTGTCTACATAAAAATAGCTGTTCTATTTTTAATACAATAGAAGTAAACAGAAAGAGAACAGCCTAGACACTCCATATGAGCTCCTCAAACCATTGCTCTGAAGCCTCCAGTGTAATTAAAATTTCTTTCTTCAGTACCACGATGGACCACATGAAGCGATCCGGCATCTCCCACCCTTCATTTTCAATTCACCTCTCCGCCTAAGCACAACTCCCAGCCCACCCCGTCTACCTGACAAGTGACAGCCCAATCTGATTAAATGCTTGCAAGGGAGGGGACTCATGGGCCTCCATGACAGGCCAAAAGTGATCACCATGGAGATACATAATTACAGCTGTCAACGCATCTACTGTCCTGCTGGCATCAATTTGATTGCTCCCAGCAATAATGATAGACAAAGCTTAGTGTGCACTCTCCTGCACCCAATCACTTTATCTATTCCGTGGTCCATTTAGCTGACATGCAACATTCACACAAGCAAATAACAGCAGCAAGCAGAACATTTAAGGCATTTTAATTGTTTTTTCTTTGTACGGATGGCTCACAAGCGCAAATGTTATTACATAAAACTCCTGCTGCAGCATTAATTGAAGAAAGATTTGGTGGGACAAAGACTGTAGGGGGTATAGTTTGTCCATTATCACTTGTACTTTCAACAGGTCTCACGTTTGGAAAATTGCAAATTGCAAAAACTTGCAAGGGCAAAATGTTTGACATCCTGTTAGCTATTACAACATGGTGAAAACTTCTAACAACCACTGGAGTATTCATTATAAATTCTTATTAAATACATGCTTTGTTTCATTAAAAAAAAGTTTAGATACATCCAATGATACCTTTTCCCCTCATCTCCTCTTTAAGATCACATAATGCCTTTTAGATCTTCACAATTTTTTTCTGCTTTCAGGCTTTGAACACAGCATGAAGCCTTAAAGACCAGAAAGGGTCAGGTCCCTTTGGAAAGTACACGGGCAAAAACAATTTAAGAAGCAAAATAAATCATATATCAAATAACATCTCCACATTCGAGATTCCTTTTGTAATCTTTCACTATTTTCCGTGCAAGCAGAGTGAATAATCGTATTCACAGATGGTACAGCCTTGGCATTCCACTAACTGACATTGTCATGTATATGTGTACTTAGGACTCAGACTATCTTGATTTTAAAGAAAGGCAACATCCTTGTTCTTTACATATAGCAGAAAACACTGTTAAACAGCTGTTCCATATAGTTAAGACTGTCTTCTGAAAAGTGTAATAATAGCTGTAACAAATTTCCTCTTTGAAGTCTACAAAGCTAAGCAGAAAGCACTGCTAGGTTCTCACTGGTGCCTCCAGTTCTCTGCGCTTAAAGAGCTAACTCAACATTTCACTGTCCTTTCTAATCACCATGCTATTTTTACTAAATCTGTGTTTGAAAAACTTAAGCTGAAAGTTATAGAATGTAACAAAATATTTCAACATATAATGGTTTCCTATTACACTGAATTCAAACATTTTAAACCCAGTTTGGAACTGTACATTCTCAAGCAGTTTTTTAGGTTACACAAGTATTGCCACGTCCCGTCCCCCCCAGCAAAAAGCTGGAAAAAAGGCCCAATTTACAAAGCTACTCAGTATTTATAATCTGTCTAGAAAAGAAACACTCAGATCCTATGAAAACCAGAACCAAGTTACTTACACCTGGCACATGCAATGGTTCCTGATACTGAGACAGTTTACCAATGGATGGCAAGCCAAATGATTTATAGGGGTCCTGAAATAAAAATTCAACACGAGAGAGAATTAAGCTTTTACAGATGCAGAGAAGATAACAATAAAAAACTTTAAGTCTTACAGAAACCACTGCTGGAATAACTTGGTTTTCTTCCCCAGAACTACTTGTGTTGAAGTACATTTCTTCATCCACCTACTTGGGCAACTCCAAATAAACAACTGGAAGCACATAAATTATCTTTCATCATAGTCAAAAGGCAGGAAAGAAGTGCTCTGCACATAGCTACAATACACCACCAAAATATAGAAAGATGACATTTTCATGTGCTACATTGTGCCTTGGAAGAAAGATGGGAAAGTATTCAGAAAGGTGAATTTGAGAAGAGAGTGTAAGGAAAAAATTTCAGAGATAAGAGCAGTTAGAAATTCAATTATCTTAAGAAATCAAACTGACCTCTATGTCTTCGGAAATCTCCTACATAATGCAATACCAATATAAACTTAATAGGACAGCAAAGAAATATATGGCCTACGGAATAACCAAACTGATGGGAAAGCAGTTGGATCCATTACATACGAATGTGAAGGAATCTCCATTGAACAAACAAAATAAAAAACCCAAAAAGAAAAAAGAAAAAGCGCCCAACCATCAGGTCCTCCAGGGTAAAGTCTACTCATACTCAGAATAGCTTCCATGCCAATCACAGGGCGTATATTTATTCTTTATCAAAACAGTGCTTATAATTTGTAAGCAGTAGAGTATGTTAAAGATTATGTGCATGTCATGAAGAGAAAGAAAAAACAACATGAAGTATGATGCCCTGTGCCACAAGACTCACAATGGTTAAGAGCAAAGGAAAAAAAAAATCTCAAGGTGCTGAACTATTTTTGAAAAACACAGTAACACAGTTTCGTTCCTCAAACAAAATGAGGGAAGCAAAGTATCATTTTTTAATTAGCAAATCTTGATTTTCATGTATCAAAATGACAGCAAAAAGATGTTACCTTGAAATGTCCTAACCATGCTTGAAAATGGGTTTTATATTTTAGTAAGCTTTATTAAGGTGAGATAGAGAGTCATACTGTAATTACAATGTTATTGTCTTGGAGTGCACTTTGAAAGTGTGTCTTGTAAACTGTAGTTTCAGAAGATATGTAACTTGCTTTTTCAGCAACCTATTAAAATGTTTTAGTACAACAAGAAAGATTTTGTTTGCCATTGAATTTCAACTGTCTTTTTAAGACAAGTTGCAAGTACACCAGTTAAGAAACCTGGAAACACTGGTTAACTGAAGCAATTAACTCTAGCACTACATCATTAAATGTGAACAAAACATATAGCAAATGTCCTTAGAAATAAACCTGAACTACCTCTTTTACCACTTTTAATTTTGATTTTCAGAAAAAAAGTATGTTGAAACTAATGTATTTGAATTTTTAAAAAAATCTACAATTGTACAAAAGCTCATTAATCCTTTGTGTTACATACTCCAATTCATGAATTTCATATGATATTCCTTGACTTCACCTTGGCATCTATTCACACCTGAGTATTATTACTTCACAATTCAACCACCTACCCTCCCCTCCCCATTACCACTCATTTACCTCAGCATAAACTCGACATTCAACCGCCCAGCCGTTGATGGGAATATCAGCCTGTTTGTGCCTGAGAGGGTAACCCTTAGCAACACGGATCATTTCTTGGACTAAGTCCAGGCCAGTAATGCATTCTGTGACGGGATGTTCAACCTGCAAGGTCAAGAACTGTCAGTCAGTAGGTAACAAACAACCAAAACAAAACCAATCACCCTCCATAAACAAACACAGGTAAACAAGAAATCAGACCAGTCAAAGAATGGTCAAAGAATACATTTCCATCTTGGTCTTTTTCCCACAAAAAATTTCTACTTGACAAACTCCAGCAACAACCTTCTTTGCAGGGAAACCCCATAAAGTCAAATAATTATCAGATTACAATAACTAGGAGCAGCATACAAAAGGAAAACTCTAGAGAACACCTAGGAAGGTTTGGGGTTTTGCAGAGTGCAGAGGTGTGGGGTTTTTCCTCCCCCCCCATCATTTATTTTACAAATTCAAATGCACCTGGTGATGACGAGTTAATTTTTCTTTGTTCAGAAGCTTTTCTCATTCAATTTGGTTTTCAAGAGACTCATACTGTAGCCATAAATATATTTTAACTGAAAATCTCAAAGTAGCTGATAATCAACCCATTCTGCTACACTTAACATGGCACATACAGGAGCCGCTTACAATTTTCCATAGAACTAGCCTACCCTAAATCTCACTCATTCGCCTGCTTTCACTAACCTGTCCTGACAAGCAACCAGATTAGCGTAATCTTGCATCAGCGCAGTGTAGCAGAAATGAGCAGATGGATCCTTCAATTTTTTTCCCCCCTCCAGACTTATCAGTTTAGTGCTTAGCATGCACAATAGCTGGGCTGGACCAGCAGAGTCACTCTGCACTCTCAGCAAATTGCTGCTAACGGCTTCGGATGCTGCTGCCATGGGAATACCCGTCGTTCACACTAACCCCGGCATGTGCGTACAAGCATGCACACATGTGTGCGCATATGCACATACACGCTTTTTCCTTGAAACAGGGATGTAAATGGACACGTTTATTAACTTTAAAAAAACCTTTTAACTAGACACAGTAGAGCAAAAAAGCACCTAAAGACAGGAGGGCACACAATATAGTTGAAGTAAAAGGCATACTAAAAGCATGTTCCTCATCCAGACACAGCTGTAAGACTTCCCATATAGAAATTATTGCAGAACTGCCATTTTTGCTATCAAATGTTTGTATTCCAAGGGCCAAAATACCTTACAAAAAAGCATTTCACAACAGTTTCTCTATTATAAGGTGTCATACTATGTACATTTTGTGCCACAGTAAAAGGTCAGTGCCCAAACCACTTGCCTTTCTTCCTTCAACTACTCTAGTACTAAGGAAAACATTTAGTCATTACAATAATCTTCCAGCTTACTAGAACAAGAAGAGGCTTTGGTCTTTAAGAAAAAAACTTTGTAAAAATAAACAGATGGCATCCATAATTAGCCCTGTGTGTGCTGCGAGTTTGTTTAGAGTTTCAACATTTTAAGACGTTTTGACATAATTTTAATGACAAATCATCACTGAAACAAGCACCTAGTCTTTGAAGGATAAAAGTGACATTGAAATGGGAATCTGATTATACAGTTTAAGGATGTACCTTTGGGATTCAATCTTGATTCTACCTAACACATGATATTCTCCAGTATGTCAAGCTTAATAACAGTATTTGGAGAATCTATGAAACATCTCAGTGTCCATCCTGCAGTGCTAAATTGAAGCAATTCAATTTCTATGAAGACTAAGTTTCTATTAAAACTCCTTCAGTTTTAACAGGAAGTTACTTATCACACATTCATATTTGGACAACATAACTTAATAGCTTATTTTGGAACTTAAGTTGTAAAAAATTACCTTAGAGTTAGAATACGTTTGGCATTCTAATGTTCCAGATAATTAATACACATTTGTGGTTTGTTTGGTTTTTTTTTTTTTTTTTTTACAGAGACTTTTGCATTATTTAGTTATACTGTCATTTTTCTTGGATTGCAATTGGCATTCCAGTTTCAATAGCTTCATTGTTGTTTTCCGTTTTATTGTTGATGATCAAAATAGGATGGAATGTTTCTGGAAAGAAAAATATTTTTGTTGTTTGGTTCTTATAACTCACAAACATTTATTTAATCCATTCTTCAATACAGATCTTTGACTTGGTCAATATTTTCTTCTGTTTCTTCAAAATACTCCCTTTGTGTCTGCACACAAAACAGCATTCAGCAAATATGATGAGGAAAATTTTTTGAGGAGTTTTTGGGGGGTGGGGAGAAGTTGTTCTGCTTTCTTTTAGGACTGTGCTTCAACTAGTGCTGTTTAGGCATAATGTAGACAGTACCAATCATATCACTAATCCTGGGGTACCAAATACATTTAAAATGCATTTTAGCATATATGAAAGATCAGATCACCAAAATGGGGCAGAAAATTTTAACCCTGAAATCGTAATTGACTTATTTGTAACTTTAGCATTGCAGTGAAGTGCACAGCTCAAATCGCACTTGTTTTAGCATTTGTAGTTTTCTTTTGACAAGGGGAGGTGCAGGAGAAGGTCAGTATTTTTAGCATTATATGGAATATACCTCAGCATATGTACAAAAGAGCATTTACAAAGCAGTAATGCCATATCCTGGTTCAACAAGCACCCTGCAATGAGATTCTGGAGGTGCAAGAATCCATCCACAGAGATACATGCAGCATCTGAAATTAAAGCTCTAATCTTTACAAACAAAGCAAGGAAGGATGGGGGTAGAAGTGAAGAAGTTAGACCTCTCTCCTCCTTCCCCTCCAGAAAAAAGAAAATACAGGCATCATCACTCCCTTCTTACAAAAGCTCTAGAATAATTGTCACAGCTATATGATTAAGGTAACTGTTGTACCTATTCTAAAATCACTATTAAAAGCTAGGCTTTAAACATTTTACTCTGTTCAGCCTTCTACTTCAGGTGTCACTTGTTTTGCCTGCCTGTTGTAGTTTCTTCTATTAAGTTTAAGCTATACCTCTTCTCCATCAACAGTCTTAACATCCATAAACAGCTAGTAAAGTCAAGGATTAAATTTTTAAATAAGTGAATGCAAGGATGCTCACAGAGCCAAATCATACTCAATTGTTAAACTCTTCTGGCTTTGGGCCATACTTAAGATTTTTGTAGTCAGTTGATCCAAGATCTTGCCAGTGAAGCCCCAGTCAATAAGGCAAGAGCCAACAGCCGTATGGTTATATGATAGTGGGTAAATTCACACATTATCTCTGTCCTTACACAAAGGGCAAAACCAGACATGTCTGCAGCAAGCAACCTACAGACCACAGCTATATCAAGGCAGCTGTACCTTATTCTCAACAGGACAAGCAGAAAAATTGATCAGTAATAACTCTTAATTAGTTAGCTGCTGAAAGTATCACCTTTACTACCAGTTCCTTTACATATACCAAGTCTGGTTATAAACAATGTATAATAAATTACTTAAGCACAACACATACTACCTTTAAAAAGTCTTATTCCCCACTTCCTGCAATCCACACACATCTTTCTCTGAAAAATGCCACTTATGTTCCTGCTTTCAAGTCCACAGAGCTGTAGCTCTTATGGCCAGCAACACCCATACAGGATGAAGGGAAAGTGCTTTCCTGTGAGGATGATGGAGCACTGGAACAGGCTGCCCAGAGAGGTTGTGGAATCTCCTTCTCTGGAGATGTTCAAAACCCACCTGGATGCTTTCCTGTGCAACCTGTTGTAGGGAATCTGCTTTGGCAGGGGGGTTGCACTAGACGATCTCCTGAGGTTCCCTTCCAACCCCTGCAATTCTGTGATTCATACTGCATCTGCTCTTCTTCAGACACTTCACAGCAATCAGCTTCCCTGTGAACATTAAAAGTCATTTTGCTTCCCTAACCTCTTTCAGTTTATACTGCAAGCAACACTGCTGGCAAAGCCTCTAATAAAATAATAATTAAGACCCAACATATAGATGGTTAAGCAGGTACAGAAGAGCTAAGGGAACCTGTAACATCACAGCCAGTTAGTATCTGTCCCCAAAACAGTATGGCAAAGCTGTTAACTCTCCTTCTGTTCTGTGACTGCCAAGGGTCTTAAAGCTTTACCATACTGGGGTTCATCCACAGCTACAGAAATAGTCATGCAATTTTTATGAACAGTTGGAGCTAAGAGTTAAATTAGCAATGACTGCTCCCCTTAAATTCAAGGGAATAATTACAGTACACATTTTTCTCAAGACCATCAAGGTATTCAAATCTAAGAGCAAACACTCCTGGATACTCTCACAGATTGCTCTCTTGCCCCTCTGTACTTAAGGCATCAAGTTATTCACACACCAGCTGGAACATGCAAGTAGACAGCAGCAGCCAAAAACATCTAAATTCCAGTAGACTTAAAACTACAGCCTATGTCACCCCTACTACTGTAAGTCCCTAGTTGGTGTTATATACTCCTTTACATTCAAATAAATAATCTCAAAACTAACTTTCAACACACACCTCAGTTTCCAGGAAACATGATTCACCTGGAATCCCATGGGCTTTTCTGTGGCAGCCAAATCCAGTATCAATTGACCCAAACCCATTAACTTACAGATGCTCCTCAGCCCCTTTATTTCAGTAAGCCTGGTTTCTATTTCAGAGAACTGAACAGCAACAAAGGTGCACACATGTTCTGCTCTTCAGGCATGCCAGCTTCCTGACTACTATGAGCAGGAGCACTCTGGGGTCACATCTTCTGTCCACAAAGTAGCTCACAACAGCCATGTATATACAGTTTGGGGGCATACGGTAAAAAAACAGATTTTCAGAAAGGCTGCTGGAGAACAGATAATGTTTGGATTAACGTACAGAATGAACAGAAAGCACAGGGGAACACATAACAGGCAGTCTCCTGTGTTGTCCTTTTCTATAGACATAGTATGTAATAGGAGTTGCTACTTATTTTCCAATTTATTAGTACATGATTGAAGAACTTGGTGCAACCAGAACTACAAAAATTTCCATAACTAAGATGCTCAGGTAGACTTCTTTTATTGTTTCCCAAGTAAGATGTTGCAGAAATAAAAACTAACGCACAGACATTTGGTACCAACAGCACAACTTGGAAAAAATTGTAATCTAC